GAGTAATAATGTAGTATCTCCCAAATAATGGTGTTGTGTCTCTAGAGTAACAGTGTACTGATAGTGTGATATCTCCAGAGTGACGACGTAGTATCTCCAGAGTACCGGTGTAGTATCACTGGAGTAATGGCATAGTATCTGGATTGAAGGGAGGAGGGTGGTATTTGGCTCCCACGCACCCCTCACTCTGGCTTCCTCTCACTTCCAGAGCTGTCACATTGAAGAAGGTGAAGAGGAAGGTGGCGAGAAAGACGAGGAGGAGGCCGAAGGCTCATTTGAGGTAGGTGATCCCCTCCCTACCTCCGGTCCTGGCTCCAGCCCCTGCCTGTGCCGACCCTTGTGTCTCCACCCCGCAGGAGAAGGAGATGGAGAAGCAGAAGCTGCTCTACCAGCAGTCACGGCTGCACAACCGCGGGGCGGCCGAGATGGTGCTGCAGATGATCAGCGCCTGCAAAGGTGAGATCGGACTCTCGCCTGGGGAGGGACAGCGGGGCGGCTTGACGGGGGGCTGGCAGGTTGGGGGGTGAGCCATGTGCCAGGCTGGTAACCAGCGTTGCCTTGGTTGTCGGCAGGGGAGCCAGGCGCCATGGTGTCCTCCACCCTCAAGCTGGGCATTTCCATCCTGAACGGAGGCAACGTGGAAGTGCAGCAGGTACGGCTGGGCCGGCTTCACTCCCAGGGCCAGGTCCCCAGCACTTCGCTCAGTCCTTACGCAGGCCAAGCTCCCGCTGAGCCTCGGAGTAACGGCTGAGTCACGGCCGAGGAGCTCGGCCACCTGCTGAGTAACCAGCCAGTCATGTCCAAGTAACACATTAGTAACCACTGAGTAACAGGTGAAGGAGTGTGGGGTAAAGAGGGCTTATGCCCTGAGTAACAAGGGGAGTATGCAGTGAGTAACGGCTGAGTAATGAGTGAATGTGCACTGAGTAATGATGGAGAACGTGCTGTGTAATGGCTGAGTAACAATGGAGTAAGAAGCTGAGTAACTAATGGGTACACACTGAGCAATGAGGGAGGATGTGCTGAGTACAGCTGAGTAGCTAACAGGCATGCAGAGTAACAAGGGAGCACAGGCTGAGTAACGGGCTGAGTAACGAGGGAG